TCCCCACCCACTTCTTTCCCCCTCCCTCTCCACCCACCTCTCATCCCATCCCTCCCCCCCCTCCCTCTCCACCCACCTCTCATCCCATCCCTCCCTCCCCCTCCCATTCCCTGAGTGTTACAGCTCTTCTGCTCGAGATGGAGGGAAAGGGGGGGAGGGGGAGGAGGTGTGGGTGGGGAAGGGGGGGAAGGGTGGGCGAAATACCTTCCCTTCACTTCTTGGTACGACTAAAGGTTGCTACCTTCTACCTTTCATCCGTCTGCTAAATGTCCAGAGAGAGGCACAGATAGTCGCCTAGTGGAAACAAATGTATAAGTTTAACCAAAGTCATAATTGTATAAATCCAATATATATCTATATCTATATCTATCTATCTATCTATCTATATATATATATACATATATATATATATATATATATATATATATATATATAGAGAGAGAGAGAGAGAGAGAGAGAGAGAGAGAGAGAGAGAGAGAGCGAGAGAGAGAAAAAGAGAGAGCGAGAAAGAGAGAGCGAGAGAGCGAGAGAGAGAGAAGGTAGATAGGCATAAGCTTCTAAGTAGATGGAGAGAGAGAGAGAGAGAGAGAGAGAGAGAGAGAGAGACAGGGAGAGAGCCGTCTTAGGGTGAACTTTATCACTACCAAAGGACGCCCGCCGTGCTTTTAGGCTCGACTGTGACCTGAAAGTAACTTGGTCACTCCAGTTAAGCAAAAAATTAATTAGTTGTTGTGGCCTGACCTGTAGTTTTTGCTTCACTTGTTTTTCTTGATTTTTTCTCTTTTTTTTTGTAAGTCATGTCTTTCTTATAAGATCTTCGTGTGTACTAATAAATGGAATACTTCATTCTGATATTCTTATATAATTAAATCATCTATCTTCTAATCACTGTTGAATCTAGGTAACACGTAAAATACAACGATCCCGGACCAAAAAGCAATTTTCACAATGATCGTCCAAAAGATATACACCGAGTCTCCACAACATGTCAATAACGTTGAGAAATCGGTCGCATCTGTGAAGAAATACAATTATTTGCATTTACTTGGAGTAGCTTGAACTAAGAGAATGTGTTGACCTCGCTAGTTAATAGCTTCGGGTACTAGCATCCTTTTAGGAACTAGTGGGTAAGGTTACAAGTCGTGTCCTTTGATTAATGTCTAATGGACGGTTGATTAACTTGTTTTGATAGTTTTGAGTTTTGAGCTGGAATTGGTAGTTTGTCTAAAGAGGGTTATAGTCGAATTGCGTTTTAATTAATAGAAGGGTTACTTAGGAGAGATAATTAAGAAATAAATGTGTATTTGGTTTAGACAGTCGGGTGTAGAACTGAAAAAAAATATCTCTACCAATTGAATGATGGGAAAAAGAGGAGAGAGATAAAAAGATATAAGATGGGAGAGGGAATAATAGGAGGAAGAGGAAGAGGTGTAATTCGTGATGGATGAGTAGGAAGGAGAGGCATAATAGATGGAAGAAAGGTGGAAAACAAAGAGGGTAGTAACAGGTGAAAGAAGAGGAAGAAGGGGAGAAGGAGTAACAGGTGGAGGAAGAGGAGGAAGAGAAGGAGAAATAATAGGAGGAGGAGGAGACAGAGGAAAGGAAGAGGGGAGGGGAGGAAGGGGGGGGGGGAAGGAGTGGCAGGTCGGTTAAACCACTTTCACTCTCGCCGTGGAGGTCAGCGGGGACTGCCAGGGGTCGCCAGACAGGACAGCGTGCGGACATCTTCAGGCTGGTCTTGGGAAGCGACTCGCCCGCCGCCTGGGTTGGCCGCTGCTTTCCCTTCGTGCTTTACTCGCCTGGCGATGTTTATCGTAAATGCGAGATTTACACAATTGATGCGTGTGTATTCATACAAACACTCAGTTATACATGCATGTATATATATATATATATATATATATATATATATATATATATATATATATATATATATATATATATATATTATATATATGTGTACATATATATATATATCTAGATATTTACATCTATATACATAGAAATACATGTATATTTATGCGCGCGCACACGCACGCACGCACACACACACACACACACACACACACACACACACACACACACACACACACACACACACACACACACACACACACACACACACACACACACTGCAATCTAAGGTTATTTATGGAAAAAATAAAAAGGAAAGGTAAATCTTATGATCCGGGGATGTGTCATGCAAGTTACTCTTGCTTAAGAATTCCAACATGGTCATAACCTACTTCGGTTAACAACGGTTACTCATCTACATCGATTATTCACTGGAACAGTTAATCTTATTCTAAATTCCTCGTAAATACACCGACATCTAGTACAAGACATCCAATGATTAAAAACCCCAGACGAAGGTAACACCACCTTGAAAAGCAGCAGAGTTCCCGCCAGATGGCAGACTGAAGCCTCGAAGTTCACATTTCACAGAAAACGATTAAGGGGGTAACTAAATTCATGTCTTGGGTAAGGTCAGAGGTATCTTCGGGCACAGCTGACCTTTTCCCCCACACCTTGTTCTGCCCACGGCTCCTGGCGGCTCGTGATGGGGTGGGCTTAGGGGGGGGGGGGAGAATAGAAGGATAGGGAAGATAAAAATACATAGGGAAGGGATACGTAGAGAGAGAGAGAGATAGGTAGATAGATAGATAGATAGATAGATAGAGAGAGAGAGAGAGAGAGAGAGAGAGAGAGAGTGAGAGAGAGAGAGAGAGAGAGAGAGATAGAGAGAGAGGAAGATATAGATAGATAAATAGATATATAGATATATAGAGAGAGATAGGGAGAAAGAGAGAGAGAGAGAGAAGAGAGAGAGAGAGAGAGAGAGAGAGAGAGAGAGAGAGATAGAGAGAGATAGGGAGAAAGAGAGAGAGAGAGAGAGAGAGAGAGAGAGGGAGATAGAGAGAGAGAGAGAGAGAGAGAGAGAGAGAGAAAAGCAGACAAGAAACAGAGACAGACAAACATAAAACACCACGTTACAAAGACGAGAGAGTCTTTGTAACGAGTGCACCAATGTTTTATTGTGTGTAATTATGACAGTGACATTCTAAACCATAAACAACACGAAGATTACGCGTTAGGCAACCTTGCGTCCGAGATGACACTGTAAAATCATGAAGCCTTAGGCAAGATGAAGCCTAATTTCTTTATCATCTTCTCTTTCGTCTCTCTTCTCAGGTTTCGTTTATTTATTGAGTTTTGTCTTACCCTTTTCTTTTTTTATTTCTTTAGTTATGGATAATAGTCGTATTGGTCATTACTTTTATTAGTATTACTGTCATTTTCATCACTGTCATTATCAACATGACCTGTTTTAGCATTACGAATTATGTCATTCTTCCTCTTCATGTAATGGTTGCCAGCAATGTCATTATTATAACTATAATTACGAGTATTATGTATTCCCATCCACTTTATCATCATTACCGAACTAGGTTCAATTTTCCTCCTAAACCCATTTTTATTATTATTATTATTGTCATATTACTACTATCATTATCATATAATTATTATAATTTTCATTTTCATTATTTTTACTTTTATCATCATCATTATCATTATCATTACTATTACTGATATTTTTATTATCATTAATATCATTATTATTACTGTTAATATCGTTATGATTACTATTAATATCATTATTATTACTGTTATTATCATCATTATCATTATTATTACCTTATTCTTATCATTATTCTCTTCCCTTCCAGCGGCCGCCCAGAACTGTCCCGAAGAAGGCGTAGCCTACTTCGCCGACCGAGACTTCTGCGACCGCTACTCTCAGTGCCGCGACGGCGTCTACACGGAAGAACAGTGTCCCGACGGCCTCCTCTTCAACGACCTCGTAACCAACGGCCGCTACCCCTGCGACTACCCCTCTGAGGTCGACTGTGGATCCCGCTCCAAGACACGTGAGTTTTAGGGGTGTGTGTGTAATGTGTAGTGTGTGTGTGTGTGTGTGTGTGTGGCTAATTGCTTGTTTTTTATTTATTATTATTTTTTTCTAATCTTTCACTTGACTGAATCTGCAATGTCAATCTTTAGGCGCATTGTTTAGGGGAGGAATTTCAAGTAGGAAAAAAAAGTGTTATTTTAAGTTGTTTATATTCCTATATTCTATTCGAACTTTAGTATCAGTAATATAGCAAAACAGCAGACAAACGGAACTCTTGGAAGGCTGGGTAAATGAATAAACAAGTAAATGAATAAATGAATGCATAAAAAAAGAAAGAAAGAATGAAAGAAAGAAAGAAAAAATGAAAACGAGAAAGAGAGAATGAATGAAAGAAAGAAAAAATGAAAACGAGAAAGAAAGAATGAAAGAGGGAAAGAAAGAAACAAACAAACAAATAAATAAACAAATAAATAATAAAACACTCCCCCCCATCTCCTGCAGAGCCCGCCCAGCCCACAGAGTTCTGCCCTCACCAGTGGGGTTACTTCGGCTCCGGCGACAGGGCCCAGTGCGGCTACTTCTACAACTGCGTGGACGGCCAGGCGCACCAGTTCACCTGCCCCGACGGCCTCGCCTTCTCCTCCGCCACCTACCGCTGCGAGTGGGCCGACGAGTCCCCCGACTGCGACGCGGCTGGTGAGTGATGTCGGGCGGGGGTGTTCGGCTTTTGTTTTGATGTTTGTGGTTTCATCTGTTTGTTTTGATGTTCGTGGTTTCGTTTTTACGTTTGTGGGGATGATGTCTCGATAGATTGTAATATTTCACGTGGTAAATACTATGATTCGACAAAGGGTTCTTCTCTTTAATCTCGAATATTCCAGTGATCCCCATTTCTCTTGCTGTTCCTCTCTCATTCCAACATTCTCTACTGTTCCTCCATTTCCGTCCTTCACATTATGCTGTCCCTCCCTCACCCATTTTTGTTCTTCATTTCTCTCACAATGTGCCCGTTCGTTCCTCCCCTTCCCTCCCCCTCCTTCCCGATCTGCCCTCCCCTCCCTCAACCTCCACCGTTCCTCCCTTCCCT